GCTGTGAAATAAAATGTGCATGAACTGTTGCAAGCAAAACAAATCTGCTTTGTAAATTTGCACCAAATCACAATTTAAAATAATAATAATAATAGTAAAATACTTGATTTCCAATTCTTCACCGGTAGGACTTTTGAAGCTAGTAAATGTGATAAATCACTCAACAGGTTTTCCATCTGTTGGAGACATGTGTCTTAAGTAACACTTAGCTGATCTGTATGTGAAAGATCAGGAGTGGAATCTACAGGCAAACTGAAATACCAAGCTATATCTATATCACTTAAAATCATTGATTAAATTTGAACACTTATTAACTTACTAATTCTTCACACATTTAAGTTTATTAGTTGATAAATAAATAATATAAATATTTAAATTAAATATTATGATTATAAATATAATTAATTAATTAATTAATGGTTAATATCAACCTTATTAATTCTTCACACTTAGACGTATACGATGGGTTGCCTTTTCCTGTGTTACCATAGTTTGAGATGTGACTTGCTAAAAATGGATCAAACTGAGTAACAAGTTCAAATAAATCCAAAATATTCCCACTCTATGGGAACTCAAACACTTCATTTCTTCCTCAAAAAGATATTCCACATTCAGCGATTGTTATAATGACAGCAACAACATGTTGCAAAACAGCTTTCCAATACTGATGTTTTTTATTAACTTGTGTTTCCAGTTCATGAATCAAGCCAAAACCAAGTCTTCAGTTAAAATATGACAATATACAATCTCTGTGAATTGAACTGTTTTCACCTTTATCAATCATATTTGAGTTGCACCAATCACTGAATCCATCCATAGCAAATCAAGAATTAAATAATTTAGGACTGAATAGTTTGCAAACAAAACAATATACAGAGCCAACTGGTGGAAAATACAGTAGCCACCCCCTCTTATAACTTTCACCATTAGCTTTGTACCCTAGAAATGTATTTCGGCTACAGAACCTTGCTTGTTTACCATACAGAAAGTTTTGACACTAATTTTCAAATAGTCCACTGTGACACTGCCAATCACTTGGGTCTCCTTCAATCCAATAATTCACATCATTAGAAGAAAAATTATTCTATAAAGCAGGATCTCAATTTCTGTTATTTACAGGGTCTGCAGATGTGACAATTTCAGATTCTAAAATACTTTCACTTTGTACACATTATTAATTTTTTTTTTTTTTTTAACTACAGCAAGAAATGGATGGAGAAAAGGGCACAGGAAGAGGTAGTCAGAGGGAGGAGAACTAGCACATTCCCCTGAAGCAGAAATCAGGACAGTCAGGAAGCCAAACACGGGAAGCAGGACACAGGGAGCTGTTTCAACAGACAGAGAAGCCGCAGAGACAATGTGTTTTCAGTAAGAAAGTAGGTCTGGACTTAATCTGAGGGAAAATTCATAACAATTCTCAAGTAAAGTTCGAGAAAATCCTCGGAAAAGCCACCCATAGCAAACAGCATTTGTGTACCTAATTATACTCACTCTAGAAATACTGAAATTTAAAAATAATCCAACAAGCCAGTTTTCCTTGAATAGATTCCAGCTCAAGGCAACCCCATGTGTTTCAGAGTACAACTACACACCATACAGTCCTGATGGCTGTGACTTTTTTGGAGCACCTCTGTTGTTGTTGTTGTTATTTGCTGTCGAGTCGCCCCCGACTATAGTGACCCCTCCTTGGGTTTCCGAGGCAGTATCACTACGGAAGTAGGATTGCCCAACCTTCCTTCCGAGGAGCACCTCTAGGTGGGCTCAAACACCAAGGTTTAGCCCATCCACCACCCAGGGACTCTTCTCCATGATACACCAAAAACCAAACTCACTGCCATCCACCTCTTTCTTAGGAGAGAATTGATTCCGACTCATAGTGACTCCATTGGGTTTCCAAGGCAGTAAATCTTTACAGAAGTGGGTTGCCCCATCTTCCTTCCCCAGAGCTGCTGGTGGGTTTGAATCGCTGATCTTCTGGTTAGCAATCAAATGCCTTAGGCACTGCGTCACCAGAGCTCCTTCTCCAGGCTACAAGGCCCCAGAACATCTCTGCCTCCACACCTCTTATCTTCATCCTTTGCCACTCTTCTCTCACGCTCTGCTCAGTCAGGACATCATTTTTCAGACTGCTACCCAGGCCACATCCCACACACGCGGAGGTGGAAGAGAGTGAGGGGTAGAGGGTATTGGGGGTGTTTATGGCCTGCTCTCTCTGGAGGGAGGAGTGCAGCCTGGGGTCACAATCCCAGGTCCCGAGCGCCCACACACAGGTATTTGGAGAGGGAACTGCCACTTAAGTGTGCAGGCAAGGACATCTTGGAGACTCTGGATCATCTCCTCCACCCAGAGACTGGGTCTCCGTCCTCCTTCCCCCATCCCAGAGGTTTTCTTCCCTAGGGAGCCAGTGATTGACTTTGATTATAGCCACTGACCCTGGGCCTTCACCACTCACTCGCAGTGAACTTGGCCGTTATGGGCAGAGGCAACTGGGGAGAGGGCAGGCCGTCCCTCCTGCCCCGCTAAGGCCCCATGCTTGGGTGCCGCTGGTCCTTGGGTTAAGCCCCGCCAGGCCAGCTGCGCCCAAGCGCAGGGCTTAGGCACCCTGGCCCGGGCTCTGCCGCTCCTGGGAAGCTGGTGTCTCCACCAGTGCTTCAGCAGCAGGCACGTCGGGAGCGTGCGATGAAGGTGATGCCTGAAGACAGGGGCTCATTTTCCCCCCTTCAACTTCATCTTTGCAGCTGAAACTTCCTGCCCTTCCAGAATATTCTGGAAAAAAGGCCTGGTTTCTCTTGTGTGGCTGAGACTGGTGGGGCAGGAACCCTCCCAGGGTAGGGGTGGTGAGTCAACTAACAGTTGACATCTTCTCTGATGGCACTGGCTCTTTCTTAGGAGGGAGGTAAGATGAAGGTGTGATGATAAGTAGGATGAATTAGTCTCTGATTCTTTTAGGCCATGTAGTCTGCACCAGGAATGGGTCATTGGGTGAGCAAGTAAGGCCCAGCCTATAGGGTCTTTGAAGTCTATGCTGCCCTCCCTGACCACCAAGGAGCACAGAGATGGGTCCTGGGGGAGAGTACTAAGCCCCCACCCTTTTCTGCCCATGCTGACTGTCTAGAGGGACTGGTCAGTCAAGTGTTGTGGTGTCTCGAGTAGAATGGGTGGTGGAGGAGGGCTATATGCATTTTTTAAAAGATCCCGCTGCACGCTTTGGCTTTTTCTGGAAGGGGTTGAGGTTATTTCTGATAGGTGGTGTCAAGACAAGTGTGTTAATTTTCACTGTAACACTCTCCATAAATAAACTGTGAAAATGTGGACCCCCCTCTTCCCCAGGGGCTGGGGAAAATGGAAGAAGAACTCAGATTGGAAGGGTTGTTGTAGCTCAGGGGTTCACTGTGTTCTTGCCATCCCACCACTTCCCAGAAAAAACACAACTTCTTCTTGGAACACGCATCAAACCAGAGCAGCTATGCAAGGGCCTGTGGGTGCAGGGGCGGGGTGGGGGCTAAGAGAGAACTAATGGAAAAGGCAGCTGGACATTTCACATACATTCTCATTTAAGGCACACAATAAGCCAAATGAGGGAAGTAAGTCCAGGACAGACAAGGGACAACGACCTGACCACCATCATCCAGCTGGCTGAGCCGGGATTTGAACTCAGCCTAGGTGCTGGGGGAGGGGAGAGTGTGAGAACTGCAGTTCACCCTTCTCTGCCTTCCCTTCTCCTCCCTTCCCTTCTCCTCCCCGACCCTCCCTTGAACAATGGATGATCTTTTAGGGGTGATGGACAGAGACCTGAAAGACAATGCTGGGTGGTCACTGTCCAGGTGGTCAGCAAATAGCTTCTGCGTCCAAAAGGGGGATGCAGACCACGCCAAGTGCCTTCTGCCTGGCTGAAGTTTGGATCTTCCTCTAGACACTTGGAAGAAGTGGATATGTCTTAAGCAGGCACGTTTTCTCTTTTAAAATATCGCCCTGAAAGCCAGCATTTCAATGGATGTGACTGGCAGCTGGCTCAGAGGCTATAGGCCTTTCACTGAGCTTGAGAACACGTGCTTTTAAACGAATGGGCACATGCCGAAGTCTGGGACAGTCTTTATTGGAGCTTGGAATATCAGAGCATCGCCTTAGTCAGAGCCAGACTGAGAAAATGAGCAGCAATGGTGACGGACATCCAGCAGGGGGACATCCTGGCTACATTAAGGAATCCTGCTCGCCTGCGAGCAGTACCCAGCCACACACACACACACACACACACATACACACACACACACTGTTACACAAACTCACATTCTCCAACACACTCCCTCTCTCCTGGTGGGTCTGAGCCAGGAGTTCCACCTGCCGTTTGCTCCCCATCCCTGGAGAGGCCTTCTCCACTCTGAGGGGTCCTCTGAGCTGAAGCTGAAGGATGCCACTTGAGGACGGGGAGCTGAAAGCAGCAGGCATCTTGCAGTTTGGGAGAGGGGTCAGGTAGGATGGCAAGGATTGCTAGGGACTGACTAAGGGAGGAGGCTCTGCAGGGCAGGGTAAGGTGGAGGAGGTGCAGGGGTGGAAGGAAAAAGCCAGCTCCTCTCCATCACGCACTCCAGCCTCATAGCCCATCCAAAGCCCTGGGCACAGGAAGCCTGGGGAGCATCAAGGAGTCCCCCATGTCCTAGAAGGCACTGAAGTGGGGAACAGATCCTGGGAAGCCTGGAGTCTCCCCCAAACACCCCAAGGGGGACAGGCAGGGGAATGACAGAGAAGGGTCTTACATGCTGGTTGTCCAGGGCTGAGAGAATGGGGAAGCATGAATTCTGTCTCCCACCCTAAACATGGGGCAGGGGCTGGGATGAGATGCAACCCCTCCAGCCAGCGGAGGGGAGAGAGGGCCAGAGTCACGGCTGCCCCTTTGGTCTCCACGGCAGTGAGTTGGGGAGCCTGGTCTTGCCCAAGTGTCCGTGGTGGGGGGCGGAGGCAGGAGGAATGTGCAGCCAAGCCTTCTGCCCCCAGGGCCAGGGCTACCAGAGCACAGCCCCATCCAGGTTCCCATAGCCTGGCTCGGCCCGCAGCCTCCAGTATGTGTTGTTGGTGACCCACCACTCCTTCCCACCGCTGTCCGTCTGCCGCCTGATGGGAGACAGCAGGATGGAGAGGGAACATGAGCATCAGGATCCAGGGAGGGCTCACAGTGGAGGAGACGGGAGCCTGGGCTACTGAGGGGCCCAGGGCAGAGGGAGAGGCGCAGGCACCTGAAGAAGCGAGCCTGGTGGACAATGTTGTTCTCCTCCATCACCTTACGCCTGTCTCGCTGCAGCTGCTCGATCCTTCTCTTCTGCGCCTCGGCAGCCTGTATGTTCCCCTCCTCCAGGTACCTGAGGAGCCCGATTACAGTTAGCAGAACTGCCCACTCTCAGGAGCCCCCAAAGCCAAGGCCTTTGTCCCCTGCTCAGCTCTGTCCCCTAAACAGGCCTCATGTCCCAGAGGTACCTCAATGGAGGAAAGGCGTCCTCCCAGTTCCCTGGAGGAGGGAACGAGCACAGTGGCTCTCGTGTGGCCCCTGTCTGGCACTGACCTCTGGTCTGGGCGGAGCCGTGTGTCAGTGGAGGGCAGTGACCGCTTCAGCTCTGCCGTCAGCTCATTCAGCTCCAAGGCAAACTGAGTGAAGCCGAAGTTGCGCTCATGGTCTGGGGGCATGGAGTCTGGGGGGAAGGCGTGGGGCTGGGGCAGGTGGACTGTGCCATGGCTGCCCTCCCCCTGTCCTGCCATCCCCAACAACCCCACTTACTGGGCTTCCAGATGCACTGACCACCTGGCGGAGGTCCCCGGTACAGCCCCTCATGCCACTTCCCGAAGAGCCGGTGGAGGACACGGCCGCTCCGGCTGAACACAGCACCCTGCACCTCGTGGACATTGGAGCTCCAGTATTTGGCCTGTGGTGGGGGTAGTAGGGGGTTTAAGGAGGTGTCCCCTACCTTACCCAGGGTGACCTCTAGAGGCTGCTGGGGGCGGCCGGGCCAGTCCATGCATACGCCCACCTTGCAGAAGGTGATCTTGCAGTGGCAGGAGCTGTCCTGGGTGTTCCGGATGAGCACCTCCCCATAGTGCTCGATCCAGCGCTGGCCACTCAGGATGTTGTGGATGCAGGACGTCACCTTGTTCCACTCAAAGTGGTCCCCAAACCTGGGAGAGGCAGGGTACAGAGGGCAGCCAGCTGGCCCTGGGGACCAAGATGCTATCCTGACTTGGGGAGTGCCTGTCTCACTGGAGAGGGCCACATGGAGCTGTGGAAAGAACCTGGGGTCCTGGTTCTGGCTCTCCCATGAAGGATGACTTGCATCTACAAAGCAGGGCCCCATTCCCAAAATGTATTCAGTTCACACATCTGCGTTCATTCATAGGGAATGGGGATAAAAACACAGACATGGTCTCTGCCCTTGGGTACCAGGGAGCATGGCAGGTATGTTCATGTATATTATCCTGTTTAATCCTCACTTCTGTTGAGCGTTATTAATACTCCTATTTTACTGATGAGGCGCTCTGGTAGCATAATGCCTAAGGCACTTGACTGCTAACCAGAAGGCTGGTGGTTCAAACCCACCAGCCACTCCTCAGAAGGAAGATGGGGCAATCTACTTCCGTAGTAATACTGCCTTGGAAACCCAAGGAGGGGCTGCTATGAGTCGGGTCTGACTCGACAGCACATAAACAATTTTACTGATGAGCAGACTCAATGCTCTGAGGCATTGAGTGTGTTTTTTTTTTTTTTTTTGCTGGCTTAATTATTAAGTGGCAGAACCAAGACCCTCACCAAAGACTTCTATCCATAAATGCAGCTCTCTCACATCCCTTACAATGATTTCTAGCTAATTCCTGGAACACTGGCTAATCCCCATTCCTTTTCTGACTTCATACCCCCCTCAACCTGTAAAATGAGCTCAGTGTTTTGTTTTCAAATGTGGTTTGTCACCCGTTAGTGCTGCAGTCAGTTTAGGTATGTGTGCGTTTGCATGTGTGTGCTGAACTGAAGTATGAAATATATTGCTTACTGTGAGTCATGGTCCAAAAAGTGTGAAAGCCACCATATCAGATGGCCTCTCAGAGCCCTTCCTGCTCGACCATTCTAAGAGTTTCACCTTCTTTATTAGCAACTGCTGTGAATATAGGAGTCCCTGAGTGGTGCAAATGATTAAGCACTGGACTACTGACAGGAAGGTTGGTGGTTCAAACCCACCCAGAGGCACCTTGGAAATAGCCATCTTCTTCCTAAAGGTCACACTGAAAACCCGATGGAGCAGTTCTACTCTGCACACACAGGGTCACCATGAGTTGGAGTTGACTCGATGACAACAAGAGCAACAGCCGTGAGTAGAGGTGCAAAATGTGCAGACATTGCCCCACCCCAAAGAGTCTTAGGCCAGGCCTGTCTCACCTGTCCCTACTGCCCACCCTGCACTCTCCCTGTCACCTGTGGGCTGGGCCTGGCTGCTGGGAGTTCAGGCTACGCACCTGGGCAGGCTGACGTTGACTGTCCCCACTGGCACAATCTCCAGGGATTTGCCCCAGAACTTGTTCTTCCACTTCATGTCTGGAATTGGGGTTGGAGGAAGAAGAGGGCATAGCAGAGGTAAGGCCAGAGGGTTTCCAGCCCCTCCCCTATCTGCCCTGCACCCACCCCATCCCACTCCTCACCTTGCCAGAAGATGAAGTTTTCAGACTCTGCATGGCATGCCGAGATCGGGGGGTGGTGAGAGACCTTGGTGTACAGAAAAGGCATTCTCTTGAGGCTGTCTGTGAGGGCCTTGGGGCCTGCTCCTGACCCCCAGGACTTCCCCCCACAAGCCCTTATCCTCAACCCCAACACCCCTGCAAACCAGGTCCCTTGTGCCTGCATCCTTGGCCTTCACCCCGATTCTGTCCACCTGCCATCCCTTTTTCCCCACAAGGCCCGCATACCCTGTCTCGCTCGCTCTCCTCGAGCCCTCCTACCAACCTGTCTGTGATGCCCTCCAGAACCCTGCTGGAACCTACAGACGCCTTCCAACTGTGTTGCAGGCCCCGCCTGAAACCCACCCTCTCCTCTTCCCTCACCATCACCTCCCCTTATAGCTTTCACATCCCACCCTTGAAAACTTAGCCTTGTCCTCAGAACACCACCACATCTGGAATCTCATCTCCAGCATCTCACAGCCTACCCTTCTTGCCTCTCTCTGAATTCCCTGACTCCCCTGGCTCCAGCCAAGACTTCCAGTTCCCCATGTACCCCACTTTCTTACAGCCTGTCAGCCCCATCCTGGTTTCATGTCCTTCCTTCCCAGCTTCAACCCATCATTCAGCCACCAGAACCCTCAGCAGCCTTCTCCTACCACTCCCCAGCACCAGCCTTCTCCATGCCCCTCCCTAGGCTACAGCTCTTCAGTCCAAATGTACACACCTGCTCCCGCCACCAAAATACATGCATGCCATCTCTCTCTCTGTCTCCTCTTCACCCAGGGTAAAATTCTTTTGACATAATCTGCATTTATTTTTCTTTACTTTTTTATTTTCCCTTTCCCCACACCTACTATAAACCCAGCCACTGCCCCATCCCTTCTCTGAAACTTCCCTGGTCTGGAAGGAAATGACATCCCCAGCCCCACCCTCACAGGAACTTCCCAGGAACCATCCTTCCTCCTCCTTCCATCTTTCCCTCCCTCCCCACTTCAGAGATCCTCCTCCTTGTGGTGCTTCTGTCCCTTGGTCCCCACCTTCCACCTGCCATCCTTCCCAGACACTGTTCTGTGAAGGAGGAGTCCATGACTTCTCCCACTATCTAAACTGGGGACTTCTTGACCACTCACCTGCACCCAGTGCTCCTGAGGGGCTCCAGGCCCCATACCCCAGAGCCTACTGGGTACCTCCCCTTGGAAGTCAAACCCCACATGGACAATGTGTCTCCCTAATTTCGTTACCTTCTTCATATACTCTCTATCTTGCTAATGACATTGCTACCACCCACTCAACCAGAAATCTGGGGGTACCCCACACTTTTCCCTCTCATTAGCCCTATACAACCATGCCTTGTTGACCACTGGGTCCTGCCAAGGGTAACATAATACCTCTTAAATTCAAGTCCACCCAGTCTTGCAGCCCCAGCCTGAGTGCAGGTCCCCATTGCTTTCACAGCCGTGACTGAAATGGCCTCCTAATGGCCTCTCTGACCCATCCCCACACACTACTGAGTGTTCTCTGCAAAGTGCAGTTCTGAGCCTGTCACTCTGCTGCTTAAAATCCTGCAGTGACTCCCCATGACCTTCAAGATAGAAAAACACAGAATAACCACCTCCTTACCTTCACCCACAGACTTCCTTGTGGTCTGGCCCTGCCTCATCCTCCAGCCACGTCTCTCACTTTTCCCAGACGTGCTCTCTCTTCTCCATTCCTTTCTCCTGTCTGGAGCACCCCACTCCCCCCACCCCCAGGTACTCCTGGCCAACTCATTCATCCTGTAAGCTTTAACTCCAGCTTCACCCTAGAGCATGCCTTCCTAGGGGGAGCTGAATAACCTTCTTTGGGCTTCTAGGATCCCACCTCCATCCCTCCAGAACATGTTACAGTAACTCCTTGTTTCAATACTTCTGTCTGGGCACTACACTGGAGATCCTGGCCAGGGCCCTCCCCCTCCCTAGCCTCAGCGCAGAGCACACTGGCCTGTGCTTCCTCCCTGAAGCCCTGGGCCCTCTGGCTTCCAGCTCCTCCTCCCTGAAGCCTAGGTCCTTCCTTGCCCCAGCACTTCTGAGCCAGCCCTCAGCTCCTGGGGCCCACACCTGCTCACTGATGAAGCGGAAGCCTCGGTCAGGCCGCTCACACTCGTAGGTCTCCCCCAGAACAGGGTTAAATGGTTTGCAGCCCGCTCGGTGGTACGTGGAGGAATAGGCAGAGACAGCAAAGGCCGCGATGTATACCTGCAGGGGGAGGGGCAGGGAGAACACCACTGAGCAGCAAGCGTGGCCCAGAGAAGGGCTCCAGGAGAAAGGCTGCTGCGCTACCACAGGCAAGGTCAGTGGCAAGGCACAGCCCAGGGAGCCTGGGGGCAAGTACCATGCGCTCGCAGGGGTCACTGATGCGGCTGGCCCGGTCCAGGAGGCTGCTGTATTCAAGCTCCTCACAGAGCCGCTGCAGAGTGTTGAGCGGCTCGTTGAGCTGCACAGGCATGGATACCTTCGACAGGTCTTTGCCAATGTTGTTGCGAAGGATGTTCCACAGGCTCACGTCGGCCCCGGGCCCGCTGGCCGCAGGCAGGCAGCGACGACGGGGTGGCCCTGCAGCTCTCCCTGGAACACACCCCCCCGGAGCCCAGCCCAGCCTCGTCACTTTCCCTCTAGACACCACACGCCAGTCCAGGTTGGGCTGCCTCCAAACCACCTTCAGCAATCACAGATGTGCGTGTTCCCAGGCTCCAGCCTTGCCGACCAGCTCCCCCAGGGACTGAGGGGACAGTCGTCATTGCCAGACTCCCACGCCCCGGGAGGCCCCCCGAGTCCTCACCCTGGCCTCCTGTACCCTTCCATAAACCCAGAAACAGGCACCAGACTAGAGGTTATTCAGCCCATTTTACAGATGAAGAAATGGACTCCAAGAAGTCAAATGACGTGTCCAAAGCCACACAGCTAGGAAGTGGTCAAGTGGGGCCCTGATGCTAACTAACCACGGCTCACTCCCAGGCCTGACCCCAACCCATCCCTAGAGCCACTCCTAACATATTCCCCCACTCACACCTTCACCTTCCTCATTTCTGGGGTCACCTCTGGAGTCAGCACCCAATCACAAGGGACTGCCTCCCCATGAGGCCTGGGCCATGGGCAACACCGCCTTTCTGTGCCACCTCCAGCCCTCTTTGTCCACTTCTGGCTGGCACCTTTCTGACAGTGCTCGGCTCCCCTGAGGTCCAGCACCTCCTCGGACAGGCTGGTGGTAATTTCACTGGTACACGACTCCTCCTCTTCTGAGCCCTGGGCCAGGACAGATGACAGGCCGGGCAGACTGTGCCCCTGGGCAGCAAGGCAGTGCCTAGGGCCTGCAAGAATCTGCCCACCTAGCCCTTTGGTGGGAAGAGGAAGATAAGGTATTTGGGATGCCTGAGCCCTCAGCCACGCCCAGGAGGCCTGGCATCATGGACTGTGACCAGTTACCTTGGGAGGGGAGGGCCTGGCCCTATGATTTTGGGGAGGAAGTGCAGACACTTAGCAGAATACAAAGTGAAGGGATGCTGAAGAATGACTGAAACCCAGGGTTTGGAGAGTGGGGTCAGGGGAGTGCTGAGGTGCAGACAAAGTCACGGGAGGATCTGGGGTTGGGGTCGAGGCAGCAGTTTCTGGAGACCCCGCTGGGGATAAAGAACGTCAAGCTGGGAGATATCTGAGCAGGGCCCCATAGACCCAGCAGGTTTAGACGGGTTTCCAGAGATAGCAGCAAGGCGGTTGGGGAGGACTCTGGAACCTATAGTTTCTAGTCTCTCTGGACCACACTCCATATTCCCAGGTCCCTTCCCTCTCACTGCCTTCTCCCTCACCTCATTCTCAGATGAGCTGGCAGAGAGGAGGACCTCGCAGGCATCAAAGAACTCTGTGTGGGAATCAGCAAGGGACAGGACGCTGCTCTGGGACAGCTGGGGGGTCAGCTCCCGCCCCTTCATGTACAGAGCTTCTTGCTGTGGGAACCAGAAGGGTTGAGGCCCCAGAGGGGGTGTCAGGAGAGTCGGCAGAGCTCCCCTTGCTGGACAAGTCCCCTCAAAGGGCAGCACAACTGGACACTTTCACCATCTGAGTGTGACCCCTCCCTGTGAGCAAGAGGAAGAGGCAGAGGGAGCTGAGGAGGGGATGAGGTGTGGCGGAATGAACACCTGGGAGTAATGGGGCGTGGGCTCCACAACTGCTAACCCTTCCTGAGTACTGACTCTGAGTCGGCTCCAAGTTCTCTGCGTGCATTAACTCACTCAGTCCTCACAACCACCCAATGAGGTGGGTGCAATTATTGTCCCCATTACTCCCATTTTGCAGATGAAGACTCTGAGGCTCAGGGTCACAAGGCCCACAGAGTACAGCTCGAGTCTGTGCTCAAATTCCCAACTCTAGGGGTTGATTCTAGAGCACTTCCCTAACCCATAACTCTGGGAGTGTGGCCCCAGCCATTAGACAAGCTGAGTTCCAGTCTCCTCGACTATGAACTTAAAGCGTCAGAACAACTGCCTCACAGGACACTGAATTAGAAGTGAAAGCCCTCGGTGCATGGTTGAAGACTGAGCAAGATGCTGCTGCTGAAGGGGATGATGTTATGTGAAGGGGGTGGAGCTAGGATTTGAAAGCTCTGCTTCAGGGCTGGAAACCAACCTTGCCCACTCTGGGCCATTGCTTCTGCTTCAGAAAGAAGGCCCAGGAGAAATGGTCCCAAAGCCCACCAGCTCCTCACCTCCTCGGGGTTGAGGGAACTGAAAGAGTCGGCGGTGGTGTCCGAGGAGATGGACAGCGAGTGGAGGCGCCTCTGGCCAGCTGAGGCCTCAGAGACCTGCAGGGAGAGGTGAGGGGACAGGTGCCAGGAGGAGGAAGGCTTTGCTGCCTGTAGAGACGGCCTCTACCAAGCTTCCCCGTTTAGCTCAGTTCTGCTCGCAGCCCCCAGGCCAGCAGTCCTGAGCCTCCAGCCCTCTCCTCCCGCTGCCACCCTGTTCCCCTAGCCTCACCCCCATCCTTGAGAGCTCCGAGCCTGGGGGCAGGTCCCTCAGTCGGTCCCGTTCAGCGGTTAGGGCAGCCAGCACACTGCTGAGGGAGCTGTGCACTGTGGGGACAGGGCAGGCCGTCAGATTCACCTCCTTTCCCTCCCGTCTGTGCTCGCTGCCCCTCCAGCATGTACTCACCCTTCTGGGCCAGGGCCCAGAAACTGCGCTGCAGATGGGCGTAGTCTGGGGGTGGCAGCCCGCGAGGGCCCGAGGGGTCTCGGGACTCCAGGTAGCGAGACAGGTTGGGAACAGAGCCATGGAGACGACCAACCTGTAGAGGAAGCTAAGGGTTCTCAGGGGTCATCCTTCATCAGCGCACCCCACCCCAGCAACTTAGGGTGCAGGCCCCACCTCACCCGTCCAATGGTGTCGTCCTTGGCGAAGCTCTGCGTGCACCACATGCGGCTGGTCCGTTTCCCCTTCTTGGGTCTCTCAGTTGTCCCAGAGGCCTGGCAAGTCAGGTGTGGGGACTTCCATTCTCAGGGTAAAAGGAAGGGGCAGCACCCACCGAAGCCCAGGCAGACAGCCGCAGAAGAGCAGCCCAGGCCAGGGGTGGAGACGAGTGACACCTCAGATGAAGAGGACCAACATGGTGGCAGATGGAGGGGCACAGGAGGAAGGAGTGCTCTGAAGGGGAGTTGGGACAAGGGGCAGAGAGGCAACTAGGCAGGTGGTAGCTCCTAAAACCTGCAGTGGCCTAGAGAGGAGCGGGGCTTGTCCCAGACAAGTGATGGGGATGAAGGCAGAAAGTGGGAGATGGAGCCCTGGGCAGGGCCTGCCAACTCCCGGGCCTTACCTGGTGTGTGGGGATCACAGGGGCTGAGGGGATCCGGTGCAGGGACTCCAGGCTCTGGAGGAGTCTGTGGAGTTCCTGGAGCTTTCCCTGGCACTCAGAGAGCTCTAGGGGGAGAACAAATGAGGAAGTCCTTCTCCCAATACCAGCCAGGGCACCCCAAAGTCTGTCCCTCAGCTTCCTTCCTCCCCCAAAGACTTCACCCAGCAGCCACAGAAATCCTGGCAGTGCCTTCCTTTCCCCTCCTCCTGAACCCCAAGCAGTTCCCAACGCCCACCTCTTAGCTTGACCTCACCTGGTTTCCCAGTTAGGCCCACATCCAACTCTGCCCCCGGCTCCAGATCACACCTCACCTCTACTGTCTTCACACAGACCCAGGGTGCCCTGTCCCTCTCTCCACTTGGTTTGCACTTCCCTCTCCCAGGCCAAATCAAGGCTCCTACTCCAGGATCCATGATTCTAGAGCACACCCCTTCCCTAGTTCTGCTCCTCGGGACCCTCCCCAGCCCCTGCGTTGGCATCCAGTATCTTCTCTGTGAGTCTTGGCCCCGTGTCCAGTCTGTCTATGGGCTGAAGGCCCAAGCCCCACCCTTCTCTGTAAGACTGGAGCTCCCCAGGGCAAGGCTTGAGGTTAGAGGAGAGGCTGTGTTTCTCTTATCAGACAGGGGCTCCCTGAAGGCAGAGATAGAGGTAACATGTCTCCTCTTTGAGACTACTGATGAACCTAGACCCAACCGTGTAGCCCTGCCACAGAGGCACTGAGCCAGACCCTCACCGTGGGAGCATCGGTCCAGCCCATCACTGTCCCTCAGCCAGGAAGACACCTTCTCCCGAGGTCCGACTCCAGGTAGGGCTGAGGTGCTACCTGATGTTGGAAGCTGGCCACCAGCAACCTGAGGGGTGAGTTGAGGGTCAGGAAGGCTGATGCCTGCCTGCCTGGGTCTCACAGTTCCCCACAGCCACCACTCCACCACTCCACCTGTCCCTGCCCCAGGGCCTATCTGACCTTTCGGTGAGTGGTGCTGGGCAGTAGGCCGCGGGGCATGTCCAGGCGCTGGGCCAGGCGGTGGGCACGAAGCTGGGCCACCCAGCTCAGGAATAGTTCCTGGGATTTGATCTGCAGAAGACAGAACGGAGGAGCGGTGCTTGGAAGGAGGGACTGCTTTCCAGGGCCAAGAAGTCAGGGCTCTGGTCCCCAGGTAAGCAGAGTCTCTCCTTACAGCCTCCCAGCTTATGCAAAGCCCCCTGGCAGGAAGGCTTCGTCCTCAGCTCTGTACTTGGTCACATAACAACCAACAGGGCAGATTCAGCTGCCATCGTTTTATACAGTGGAACTCCCTTCTTGTCAAACTCAGGGGCAGCCCACAGCTCCTCAGCCCCAGCTCCTCTCCCGTGTGCCCCAGTTCACACTCCCTGGGGCCAAGTCATACTCCCTGGCTCCTGGGATCTCACCTTGAGGTGGTAGATGTTGTCTTCAGTGTCGAGGTCAATGCGCTGGGCCTTTTTGTTGATGGACATGACAGACAACCGGACATCAATGGAGCCATGGAGCTTCCCCTTGGTGATCTGGAGTGGGGAGTTGGTGAAGGATTAAGGAGGCTGGTTTTAGGCTCCCAGGGCCACAAGCCACCATGTCCCTGAGGTTCAAGTGTCAGGCAGCAGGCTTGCCCTCATTCCCAAGTCACAGTATTGGTAGGAACTTGTCAATCACCATATTGTATACCTAACACCCTGCTACGTGAAGTCATATCCTAAGCTCTACAGAGATACAGAGCAAGGGAAAATATCCCACCCTTCGGAATCTATAAGGCTGAGGACCAGGCCTCAGTTCCTTGCTCTCAGCATGAGTATGGGGACAAGGACAAAGACAAGAAAGCTCCCATTTCTTAGGTACATTGTTTGTGCCAGCCATCGTCCAGAGAGCCTCATGTGTATTAACTTCCTTAACATGACAACAATCCTACAGACGTGGACTGGCATGCTCCCCATCTCAGAGGTGAGGAAACCGAGGCCCAGGGAACTCACTTGTGCAAGACCACACTTCCAGAAAATGGTAACTGGGATTCAGGCCCTGCTCTGTCTACCCCAGGTGCACCCCCGTCCCTCAGCCCTGAACCAAGGCCCTGACTCACATCTTGCCGAGTAGTTGCATAGTGCAGAATCCCATCTTCAAGCACAAAGTATCTCTGTGACATTGCCCAGGAGGAGCAGGAGCCCAGGAGGCCAAGAGGAAAGGGTGTGGGGAAGAGAGCAACCACGACACATACTTTTCTTCTCGAACACAAATACCCTGCATTGCCCAGCAGCCTCCCCAACCATTCCCATTCCACCCCCATGTCAGGCTCCTTGCCTTGCCCGCCCACCCTACCTTGTGCCAGCCCTTCAGAGGCCACTTCCTCTTCTTGAGCAGGTGGCCTTCCTGCCTCTCCGGCATGACAACTTCTGCCTCCAGCCTGCCCCGAGACTCCTCCACCACCTCCCAGAGCTCCGAGGCCTGCAGTCCAGGACAGAAAGGGCAGGGAGTGGCTGGTGGGGCTTCCACATCTGCCCCTCCTTTGGGCCAAGCCAAGCCCTTCCATTGTCTGCTCTCCCATCCCCAGACCTGCTGGGCACAGCTGGGCTTTGAGGACTGAGTGCTTTCAGCCAGGGAGGGAGAGTCCCTCTCTTGGAAGTCCATGGAGAAGGCAGAGACCACTTCCTGTGAGGACGCAGAACAGGGCCAAAGGGGAAGGATGTCACCTTGTCCTGAGGGGGCCCTTGAAGGAAGAGAGAGACCCCATTAGCTCAGACCCTGCTATCACCTTCAGCCTTCCCATCTGCAACCCCTCTAGCACTCACCACCTCATCTTTCCCTCCCCTGCCATACCTCTCACCACGTCTCTACCCTGCCCTGGGTGACTTTCCTGGCCCACACCCTCCCCCTCCAGCCACTGCACTGGGAAGTGAATAGAACACAGCCAGCAGGCTGGTGCCAAGAAAGCTGGTAGTTTGCCCAGCCCCACCTTGGGCACACTTTCCCCAGCTCCAGGAGACACACGGAGATTTCTTGGGAGGACTCCCTGGAAATGTTCAGAGGTGAGGCAGGGAAGGGGAGGGAAGGAAAAGAAGAGGCTCCAGGGAAGGACAAGAGGGAGTCAGGGATGGGAAGAGAAAGATTTGGCTGCCTGTTCCTTAAGACCCTCCATGCCCCCACCTATATAGCCTGGAGATGCCTCTGCCATGGTAGCCCTACAGAGTCCCCCCCAGCTCCTTCACCCCAACTCCCCTATTGGTCTCCATATTCCCTGGTTCTTGGGCTCCCATTTTCTGCATGGGAAAACTGAGGCCTAAGATAGTCCCTAATTTTTCCCTGTCTCTTCCCACCAATCTTCCCCCTGGATTTTCACCTGGGCCCTCAGTCCCCTAACACCTGGCCATCCCCTTTCTACTAACCCAGTTAAAGGGGCTCCTGAGAAATACCACCCACCAGGAGAGAGTGGGGGACTGGACCAGTGGAGACACTGAGCAGAGAAGAGGTGGCCAAGAGCCGGGGAGGGCCACACAGGTCCCACAGCAGCACCCATAGCAGTACCCTGGCCCCAGCCCTGGCCCTCCCAGCTCCAAGAGCCATCAATAAATAATGCAAGCATCTGTGTGTGAGAGCCAGGAGAGGGGACTGGAGGGGCGAAGCCAGTGGAGTAAGGGAAGCTGGCAGGTAGGGGCAGAAGGGCCTCTGCTGCCAGAGGCTGGCCCAGAGGGAAAACTCCTGCCTTTGGCCATTGAAAGTTCTCAAACTCTTCCGGGTATTTATGTGGCCTTTCCTGGCCCTGTGGGAAGCCTAGCCTCTCACTGCTTGCGGGTGGAGGTGGAGGCTGTGTCAGGAAGAGGGTGGGGGTTGAGGTGGCAGGTGAACAGTGCTCCCCACCTCCATTCCCGCCCAGGCTCCAGAGGTGCAGACCCGCTCAGCTTCAGGCGGACACCTCACAGAGATGTCAGCTGTGCCATACAACCCCTTACCCCAGGGTCCATGGACGCCAGTGCTCCTTGGCCCGCGCGCTACTCCATCTGAGTCACCCTCTCTTAGTTGTCAGCTCCCTCTTTGCAGAGCTGAGCAACAGCAGCAGCGGCAGCAGCTACTGCAGGAACCAGGAAGGAAGGAGATGTCGGAGCCTCCCCCCAGCCGGATCTCCCCACCTTCCCCTCCACTGTCCCCTCCTCCCGCCCAGTGCCAGGCGGCCGCTCAGCTCTGCCCCCCTGCTCCCCGGAGGACTCAGGGCTAAGCAGGCTCCCGCAATGCCAATCTGGCTTGGGAGCTGGGGCACCGACCCCACTGGGACCAGTTCCAGGTAGAGCAGAGAGGACAGGAAGCTGTTGGCCTCAAGCCAGCAGTAGTAAAGTGTTTATTCAGGCTGTAGTGGCTATGACCCCAGTTAGTGCCCAAGGCCATTTCCTTATTAACCCTCGCCACTTGAGGGAGGAATCTGGAAATAGATTGCAAACCTTGGAGCCAGCAAACGTATCAGGTTGATGGGGAAGGGATGGATGTTCGCTTTGGGACCACAAGAGACAATGCCAAGAGCACAGTCAGCAGTACAGCCAAAGAGTGAGAACATCCAGCCACCCCCACTGAGACTGCTTATGAGGGTGACACTCCACCAGGTCAGTACCCATTTGGGGGGCCCTAGATGTGCCTGTGCACTAAGACAAACCCCAGAACCTGCTAACAGTCTGCCTCTGGGGCAGTACTGGGGCAGTACTGGCTAGCTGATAAGGGCTGGCTGCAGCGAACTCTGGCACCCTCCCCTCCTCTCTGAGTGTCCTGCCCTTTTACAGGAGGCCTGAGTCCAGGTGCTCCATTCCAATTAAAAATCAGCTCATGAGAAGGATTGCAAACACATCCAAATGAGTATGGAAAAACGCCAGCTTTAAGTGCTGTAAAGCAACTTTTCTGGAAAGAAATGAGTTTTTAATGGTGGGATTTGAGGCACTGCCAGCAATGCCAGGTTCTCCTTTGGTCCTAGAAATGACACGGGCCACTTCGCCATGCGCTTCCCAAAGTCCTTGGCTTACCCTTAAGGTCTTTACACCTCTCAGGAGATATCTGCTCTCTGCTCCACTCAGGACCTGGCATGGCTTCTGTACCACCCCCATCCTCCAGCTCCCAGCTCGCAGGTGGCGACCAAAGAGCCACTAAGCAGCAGTGAGTGGCCTCAGCCAAACTGGTTCTGGCATTTGAAAGCCTCCAGAGCCTTTTTTTAAACCACTTCCTATTGATTGAGCATCCCCAGGACTATGGCATAGAGCTGGGCACCATGGGAAGTTTGGTCCAGGACCAGGGCACAGAAAAGCAGCTCAGCTCATCACTGCCAGGGGTGTGTGTCCTGGGCTAAGGAGGCTGTGGCACTGCTTGAAGTCCAGGAAGGACTGACTGCTGAATGGCCACCTGTCACCCCTGTATCTGCTCAGCATGTGCTTCCGGTCTACCACCTTCAGTAGACTAGCAACTGCTGGTTCCCCAAGACCTGAATGAGGTCTCTGACTTGACAGCCCCCAGAACCCCTCATTAATAGAGGATGCTGATTTTGTTCAGGAATGCTTGAAATGCATTACTACTAGGCAATGCTGTCAGCTCCCTTTAAAAGGACAAACATTTAAGAGATGTCATTTGTTCTCATGGAATCCAGACTTTCTGGAGTCATTGAGGCTGGATGAACCACCAAAACTATTGCCCTGAGATAACCTTTAAACCTAAACCAAAAATACCCTGAAAGCATACCCATGACCTGTACAGGGTTAGCAGACAATGTTTCTACATGTGTATTTGTATGTGTTGTAAGAATGTCCAGGCATATAGTAGAGCTGACAAGGGGCAAGGTCGTGGTGGCTTCTTGGCCACAACTAACTACCTGGAGGGAGTAGTTGGACTTGTGGGCTAGGGACCATGGTCGCAAGGGACATCAAGCTCAACTGGCATAACATACTACACAAAGACATTGTTCTACATTCTACTTTGGTGAGTAGCTACTGGGGTCTTAAAAGTTTGCAAGCAGCCATCTAGATGCAACGATGGGTCTCTCCTCATCCAGAGCAAAGAAGAATGAAGAAAACCAAAGATGCATGGAAACAATCAGTTCAAGGGACTGGTAGACCACTGATCCTCAGCCTATATGAACTATAAGGTGCCTGGCTACTAATGTCAACCACTTGGAGGGGGATCAGTGCAGGAGATCCTGGATACAGCAGGAGAACAATGTGGAACAAAACCCAAAATCATAAAACAAAGACCAGGTTTGTTGGTCTGACAGAGCCTGGTGAGACCCTTGAGACAATGGGCCTTAGTTACCCTTCAGATCTGGAGTTGAACTCACTCCTGTGGCTTCCAGCCATACAACACGCATATGGGGTGACATGTACATCAGGTAGATACACTCCTTGAAGCGATCAATCGTGGGAGAACAGAAGGGCAGTATTTGCACAGTGTGACAGCTTGGAGGGCAGGACACAGGGAAGAGGTAACTATGGGGAGGAAGTGGAAAGAGAGCTGTTGCATTGTGGGAAATTGCAATCAATGTCATGAGACAAAATGTGTATGAACTGCTGTATGAAAAATGAATTTCTCTGTAAACTTTCACCCAAATCACAAAAATAAAAAATAAACAAGCCCCTGAAATCTTCTTCAAACCAAACAATAAACCAAAACCAAACCCACTGCCATCAAGTCAATTCCAACTCATAGCAACTCTACAGGACAGAGTAGAACTGTCCCACTGGGTTTCCAGAGCTATAAATCTTTATGGAAGTAGACTGCCCCATCTTTCTCCCATGGAGCAGCTGGTGGGTTTGAACCACCAATCTTTTGGTTAGCAGCCCAACGCTTTAATGGTCAGTTGTTGCTGTTGTTACTCCACTTAATTAGCGAAGAATGTCTGCCTTGTGCTCTTTTAAGAACAGGGATCAAATTGATGATAGCAACTTGAAAGATTAGATAGGAACCTTAGAGGGGAGTGAGTTCATGTCAATGGGGGAGGAACAATTTGGAAAAGGAGGGTGTGATAGCTGGAGCTGTGTGTCAACTTGGCTGGACCACAATTCTGTGTGGTTTAAGCAATTGTGATGTGGGTTGTTCCAATGACGGGGTCAGATGTATATGTTTTGAGTAGCCAATCCATCGAAAGGGAGCTTCCCTGGGGGTGTGGCCTGATTCCAGGATATTTATGGACATTCTCAGAAAAGAGACGCTCTTCTGTGGATCGGGATTCTGTTGTGCTGCCTACAACTGTCTGTGAGCAAACAATCCACCATTCGGCCTGGAGATCTTGGATTCATCATTCATTGGAGTTAACAGCCAGTATACTGCCTGCCAACCTTGAGCTCCTCAGCCCCTGCAGCTCCATGAGTCGGGAAAAGCCTCCAGCTTGACGTTTGATCCAAGAACTTTGGACTTACCAGCCTATAAGTGTGTGAGCCATTTTCCTAAGATAAATTTCTCTTTCTCTCTACATATAAGCTTTACTGGTTTTTCTAGAGAACCCAGTCTAACACAGAGGGTGAGAATAGTTGCACAACTTAAAGAACGTAATCAATGTCAAAAGAAAAAAAAAAATGTCATTTGGGTACATTTAGAAACAGAACGGTAACAGGTTTGAACGAAGGGAAGAAGTATTTTCTAGGAAAGGAAGTGGGGGAGTCAGAATTGAG